TTTTATTGGTTCCGCTATCGGGATGGAACCAATAATGGCAAGCCATTATTTTTTTCAAATAAAAAAAAAACAAACAAATAAAAAAAATGTCAATTTTAACATTTTATTTAGATTACAAAAATAGAAGTCATGCTTCCGGGACGGATCAAGTAGTGACAGTCTGCTCTGATGCATGCTCGGTAGAGACGGAGGGGCGAGAACAACATCCGGGGACTTTGTCCATTCTCAGTCTTCTTCTTCTTGTGAATTAGAACAGTGCACGGGCACATGAGAACGCACAAGTACACATATTGAGAAACGCCAAAGACAAGAACGACAAAACCAGTCCATCTTTACTTTTCAGTACCGTATTTTCACGACCATAAGGCGCACCGGACTAAAAGGCGCAGTCTCAGTTATGTGTGCCATTACTGTATTTAACACACACATAAGGCGCACCGGACTATAGGGCGCGGGATAATATACCAGTACATGTCCTCTACTACGTTTAAATACCTCTACTGCATATTTAAAAATAGAGCGGGAGCAAAACTGAGTATGTTTGTGCTTTATTCAAGTATTTATTACAAAGTATTAATCAAACCCATCGAAGTCATCATCCTCTGTTTCTGAATTAAACAGCTGCACTAAATCAGACATGCCAATTTCCCCTTCTTCGCTGTCAGAGTCACTTTCCGTGCCGTGCCGCTCCTCGGAAATGATGCCGGCTTTTGCGAAAGCTGGAACAACAGTGCCAGCAGACACGTTAGCCCAAGCATCAACAATCCATCCGCAAACTGTGGCGTAACTCCCCCGGCGCTGCCTTCCACTTTTCGTGAAACTGTGGTCTCCGTCTGTCATCCATCGCTCCCACGCCGCTCGCAGCCTTACTTTGAACGGCCGCTTCACACTGATGTCGAGCGGTTGAAGTTCCTTTGTCAGACCTTCCGGAATAACGGCGAGCACAGCGTTCATTTGTTTCACCTTGTTTTCCACATCGGCTGTGAGATGGGCACTCATGGACTCACAGATTAACAGCAATGGTGATGCGTGGAAAAAACCACCTGGTCTCTTTACATACACCTGCCTCAGCCACACTTCCCCCTTTAACGTTCTCAGGGCGGTCTCAACAACATCCGCAGTAACAACACACATAGGGCGCACCGCACTATAGGGCGCGCCTCACATTTTGAGGTAAAAAAAAGACGTTTATATGGACCTTATAGTCGCGAAAATACGGTATTAATGAGGGAGAACATAGAATATATATTTTCAAGTCTACATAAAAAAACGTAAGAAAGGTAAAAAAGTAAAATTTTGACGTGAGGAATAAGTATCATCTCCGTAATTAGCAATGTTGGAAATAAATAAAATGGAGGGCTTTTACTTCCGCTTTAAACCTTCATATGTCCATGATTTCAACAGCAGATGTGTTTTCAAATGTTTGGGAAGGAAGAAGGAAGAGCTCAAACAAAACTGAATAATGCATTTTTCTTTAGTTTGAGGGAATCTAATGGAGATGTTTGAGAAAAAAATAAAGCCTTTATTTGAGAGAAAATGGCAAGCAGCATGTTTCTGTAACTAAAGGTCAGATTAATTAATAGCAAAGCAAAGGTCCAGTGAAGCTCAGTTCGGCTCTTTGAGGACAATCTGTTTGGAAAAGGAAGAGAGGGACGGTATGTGCAGATCATGCTCAGCGGCTATGAGACTGGCTGTAATCGTTTTTAATGAGGGACCACTTTATCGCTTCAGCGCTGGGCATCCTCCCACAGACGGATGGAGCAGCCAAACCCTTCACCCTGTTTAAAATACCTCACTTATCAGCTTCCACTCCCGGTGCACCATTCAAGCCTCCGCGGCTGCTGGAAAGACAATGCAGAGAGACCTGGAGCGGCGTATCTTATCGCCTCTGACAGCAGAAAGGCTACTGTGGGGCGACGCCGACCCCAAATGAAATATTTGCAGCTGAGATTAAACGAGGAAGGTTTCAGGAACAGAGCTCGGTAATCTGTTCCTCGCACAAAAACAAGCGAGAAGACATCTCCCCGAGAGATACGTCACCAGAACCACCTGAGATGGAGCGGGAAAGAAGTCTCACGGCATAATAATGAGCGGGAGCTTCGGCGGCTGCTGACAAAGGCCCGGAAATGACCATGAACTGGCAAAGTAATGATGACCAGTTTTTCTCCGATCAGTGGTGAAAAGGAGATAAGGCGCTCACTTGGCATTCTCCAGTTGTGTCATTACAGTTTCTAATGAGCTCAGCTTTGAGAATCTAAACGCTGAGCTCTTTGAAATCTCTCACTGCCCTCCCTCCCCCTCCTCTGTGTGGTTAATTAGGGCCTTGAAGCAGAGGAAATGGGAGCTGCCATTTCTGGAAGGCACAGCAGCACGCATGGGGTGGGGGGGGCACATGTGTGGATACCGACAGCCCTCAACACCCGCAAAGCTAGGTGAGGAAAGCCATTATCAGCATTCTCCTTCTCATTTAGGCATCACTTTAGCTACTGCCCCCCCTCCTTCCACTTCTGCTGTGTAATAGTCTGGGATTTTATTTTATTTTCTCCTCCAGTTTGAGATACTTTAAAACCAGTTTGAGCATTAAACACAAATACGGTACCAGTAGTTAAAGCGATGCATGTCATTTCCATCAATTGTCACAATAAAAACAGAGCAATTACAGATCAGTGAGCGACCGGCGCAGCTCTGAAACTTAACACCTTTTCAAATTATGACCCGATCAGACACGCTGACCGACGGGTGCAGCTGCTAATTAGCCCAATGGCACTTCTGAGTTTTCTGAGGCCTTTCCTGATCCATGTCAGCAGCTGCTGCGTCAAACGAAACTCTCAATTAAGAAAGATGAACGTGAAGGCAGGCCGTGCAATTACTGGGATCATTTATCCAGCAGGTACAGCTGACAACTGGCAACAATACAACACTTAAAGAAAAAAAAATAAACTTTTTTCTGGACTTTCTTACATTTCTCTTGCCAAAAAAGTCCTTCCTCTTCTTCTGGCTGAAGATGCTGTCCTCATGTCCGCTCTGCTTTTTGTCACTGAAACAAAATAATGCACCATATCATACATTTTGTACGGAAGAGGATTAGGGCCACTGAAAAAAAAAAAAAAGTAAACTGATTTTTAAATTTTATTTCAGTT